AGAATTCTACAATTTTTTTTAAAGTTTCACATAGAAACCTACAATATAATACTGTACTTTAACGTATTTGCACACCTACAATAATACGTGCATACATACACCAAAAATGGCATTCATTGAATACTGTAAAATACTTTATTTTAGTTTGAAATTAATTTTTGATGTTTTCGCTGAAGGAATGATTCAGTGAAAATAAAATCCAGCGAATATACCTTTCTTCCTATATTTTACATTAAATTCGTCAAAAATCAGTGAAAATAATTCCATACAAATCACCCAAAAGGTCTTTTCAGCGAAAATTAATTCCAGCTAAATCACTGGCTCCCGCAAAATTAAAGCAGTGTACAGTAATATGTACTAATTCAGCAGATTTGCATCATTATTACAACGTATAAGACCGCTTGTTTTACATAAAAGTCTGAAAGTTTCCAAACCCACCGATTTGACTAATCTGCTCATATTGGTGAAGGATTAGGGGGTCTATTTATAATGCTTTACTTACTTGACGTAGTCTTCTTCCACCACTGGTGGCTCCCATAACCGACAGATTTGGAGCTGTAATATATGAGACATGGCGTCTACATAATGCCCTCGTTCTACATCCCAATCTATACCACTTAATTTTCTCCTTGATACCTTCTTGCGGCCCTGTAAAAGTACAAACATTCACACATAAAGTTACCGGTAATAGTATTGGGTGTTTTGTTCTCAGTTAGAAATCACTGAAATTAAATTCCACAAAATGATCACACTTTTCATAGTACATCAGTGAAGAAATCTATTCAATGTAGACAACAAGGAATCAAACAAATTATCTATTACAGTATCGCCAGTCTTGATGTACAAAACAATAGAGGTTATAATTTGGATGGTGATCAAGTTTATGAGGATTAAGTATTCATATTCTAATTGATATGCAGGTCACACTACCTGGCACTTTCTTGGGGTTACAGATTCACTATGAATGAGAATCACAATAATTTCCCCTCTAATGTAAATCATTAAAATTGAAGTTTATCACAAAAATATAATTGCTGTTAGGAAAAAGTACCAGGACATGTATCACACCTATTGCATACAGATTTTATCACTATTATTGAAGAAACTGAGAATGTTTCAAGGATCCATGGAAAATTGAGACGAGTGCACAGCAAACATAATCTTTTTGTTTGGAAGAGAGAAAGTCAAAGTTTATTTCAATTAAATGTTGATTTGAATGTTTATTCCAATTATTTTGCACCTACAAAATGGTGTTTAGAGATTGGACACGAGGAGTGGAATGTTTTGTTTTAATCATCCATACTAATGGAATTAATTATTTTCATTGGAGAGCAACAACATTGTAAATGTTGAGTTGCTGAATATAGATCTTGCAAAACTAACCTTGCCAGAAGGTGCCAAAGTTACAGACGGTTTGGTGGCTTCGGCTTCAAAAGCTTCCATAAACTGACACAGCAAGTACGTGTTCATCTTGACAGCAGTGCGGTGTTTATGTTTCGTCGCAGTATCTAATGCAGTATCCAGTGTAGCTTCTAATACAGTACAATGGTTCTTATGAACTGAAAATGATTGGCATAATGATGTAGTTATTAAGACTTGCATGCATATTTTGTTTGTTAAAAGAGGACATTACTACAAGTCCCATGAACTATTAGACTAGAACCTTCATAAAGAGAATCTTTCAGTTAGCCTAGTAATAAATGATAAAACTGAAGATTACATTTATTGACACTAACTTAGTTGGACCATGAACAATAACCCATATAGTAAATATAGTAGCAGTGTTTTGATTTTCGCAACCAAGGCGATTATAGTAGCAGTGGAAACTAGATATTTTATGTACAATTATTACCGTACTTCCCCGATCATAAGCCCAGGGGCCTGAACATGTAAAATCACACATTTTATTACAATACGGTTCACATACCGTCTGAATTTACGGTGCAAAAATGAAATGGGTATGGGCTGTGGGAAAACAGTCAAAGGCAAGATCTTTATCCTTTTCTTCATTGTGGAATGTTTTCGTTTGTGCGCAAACTCTCAATACAAAGCAATTTTCGCCATGATGTGTTTCATCATGATTTGACCTGAACAACTTTCTTTGACTTAACAGGTCATGTCTTTCGTAAACCAATCAAAATGCTGTGTGCAATGCAATTTTCGAAAGGTAAACTGAGGGTGGATGAAGTATTTAAACCTTTCATGGTCGCCAACAAGTCATGCCGAAAAATAGTTTACTTGTTCACACCCCATTCTCGATAGTCTCAATGGACACGATTATTCGAGAAAAGTAAAACGATGTTCAATGACCAGGTTTTACGACTTGACGATCATATTTTTGGTGTTTAGAAAACTACTGCTCAAAAGAAATATGGATTACTTCAGTATTGCAACATCAGGGTTCATCCTGCATAAATAACAGAATAGACAAGTCATTGTCAATGACACGTCCCCGTTCCGTTCATATTTGAGTGACATATACATTCAAAGCAGATCATGACCAAAATGCACCTGCATATGTACAACACATTGTACTAAATCTGAACAAGTCATGAATGACACTGCCTTCGCTAGTTGTCATTCTAAAGTTGCATGGACATAAATTGGCAAACGTGATTTCTATGGCATTTTCAAGTTTATAGCACTCTCCATCCAGGTCAGCATTATTCTCAGCAAGGAAACCAGATAGCACCAAACCAGTACAACAGGTAAAATGACAAGGAAGTATACAAATCAGATCTGCAAATATGTAGAGTCAGTGTTGTGTCTGTTTGGATAAACT